AGAAGGTCGTTCCTCTCCTCTGTGGCTGAAGCTCATGCTCCCTCAGGGCCCACAGGGGCGTACTACCTGCTGGTGCTGGCATGGTGATGCGCGTCCTTCTAACGTCAAGCTCGGACAGGGCTGGGGTGTGACCTCAGAACAGCCCACTTCTGCTTTGCAGCACGTTATCTGTCATCTATTAATGAGCTCAAAAGTGAAGATGACAGAAACAAGGAAATAAAAATGCATCTTAAACATAATAGGAAATGTGCAGTCTCACTCATAGTAAGATAAATGCTCAGTAAAAATTCCATGAAGATACAATTTCTAATCCAGCAGTTTGGCAGAAAGAAAAGAAGTTGGATGAAATAGCTATGGTCAGGCCATCAGGAAAGGGGCATTTTCACACAGAACTGCAAGGCTTGTACATGTGTAAAACCACTGAGATGACTATCTGGAGATACCTAGTGGATTATAAATACACCTATCTTTTGACACAAAAATTCCACTTGTAAGAAAATATCCTACATATAGCAGTATACATGAGAAATAATATACATTCAAAACAATCTAATACCTCTAATACCAAATTATCTACTACCTCATTTGACCTCCACTGAAGGGGCAGCTCAGCACAGCTGCATCCACGTGCCCTGCTCACTAAAGAACAAACACATTAATGCAAATGTGTCTCATTGTGACTGCAAAAGAATGTAAACAAGCCATATCCATTGGTAGGGACTGATTGAATATATCATAGTGCAGTCACACAATGCAACTACTAAATGAACAAGGCTTCTATGTGTACTGATAGGGAAATCTCTAAGATTTATCGTTATGCTAGCTATAGACAGACAGTATAGGCAATATTTAGGTGGGGGAAATAGATATCTGTATTTGCTTGTACAAGCACAAAGAAAATCTCTGAGAGAATATACAAGAAACCAACAATGATGGTGACTTATTAATTGTGTCTGAATTTGGAGATGGAGGAAACGGAGTAGTTGGAGAATGTGGTAGGAGGAAGATTTTGATCATAATTTTTTACATTTTTCTGATTGTAAACCTTGTTAATGTGTCACCTGGTCAAAATGTTGAGAATATTAAAGTGGATTTGTCATTTCTTGGGCGAACTCCAAGCACTGGGACTAGCTGCTTAAGGTGCTGCCCTGAGAATTCTGAGCCTTCCTCTGGGCTCATTGGAAAGTTGTCATGATTAATCATCTGCACATGGGTGAGCCAGAGAAGGGGCGTAGAGACGAGGAGGAGAGGGGGAGGGGAAGGAAGGAGATCTCAGCTTTGCCTTTGTAGCACGGGCTGCTTTTAGGGTGAAACAGCTCTTGGAATAAGTAAGATAAATTTGTTCCTTATATTTGAACAAAAATGACTTATTTATTGGGACACAATAGTATTACTTAATTGTAGTGTGCTGTGATTTGAGAAACAAGTACACCTCAATCCATTCCATTCTAAATGTAATGAAAACACTCACAGAACTGAAGGAGGAAGGTTGGAATCATTCTACCACCACTGTGGGGAGCTTCTATCATGTTGAAACTTACTTAAACCATTTTATATGCTTTTATGAAAAATGGAATCAGTTGTATCTATCTTGCTCTTTCTCCCAGGATGTCATCAGAGTCAATGAAGACAATGCATGAGCTTTGTTCTTGTGGAACAGGACATGACAGTTGGCCAGACTAATGCCGCTGTCCTGCCGTCCCCGACCAGGCAGCAGCAGCCTGTGTGCTCTCTGCAGGTCTCGCAAAGGGTGGCAGTCAGAGCCACGTGGGGTGCCAGAGGCGGACACTGTTCAAACGGAGGGCGATAGTCCTAGCTTAGCGCTCTTCCTGGTAATGATCAGCTTCAGTGGGTCCGCCAGGTGACAGCAGAAGCATAGGCTGATGACTTTAGGGCACAAGACAGCCTTGGTCTTTTCAGCAGACACCTAACCTATTCTTTTCCTTTTCCTTTAAGTTCAGGGGTACATGTGCAGGTTTGTTATATAGGTAAACCTGTGTTTTAAAAATTCTTATTATCTTTTTTTAGCAAACATTTATTCTTAAGGCCATGCAAGTTTCCAATAAGGCTTTTCAGAATATCATCTTATTCTAACGTTCAGAGCAGCTTTGATGCTGAGGCTCTGAACTCACCAGTCCCAGGGCCTGCCTGACACATGGAGAACAGGATCGGAGCATGTGTCCCTGTAGGGACAGAGAGGGCCCACATCTCTCTCCTACCAGCCTGGTGCCTACAAGCCCACCATCCTCTCTCCACGCCATTGTGCTGAGCACTGTGAGTCTCTGGAATTTAATTCCTGGGGTCATTCTTGCAGAGACACAGGGGTAAGGGGGCTCAGAGCCCACCCATCATTTCATAAGAAGAATCTCTTCCCCCAAGGACGTTACGGTAGAGTTCGCACACAAAGACTCATTTGCCGTGTTGCTCTGGGTCCTCCACGGTGCCCCTTAGATGACAGCCTTGGTCTTTTCAGCAGACACCTAACCTATTCTTTTACTCTTCCTTTAAGTTCAGGGGTATATGTGCAGGTTTGTTATGTAGGTAAAATTGTGTTTTAAAAGTTTTTATTATATATTTTTAGCAGACATTTATTCTTAAGGCAGGGATCAGACACTTTATATTCTGTAAAAACAGACTTCTGAACGCCCATGATCAGGCCCACAAGTTTCTTTCTGCTTTTTGGTGCTAGATCCTCCAGCCCCGGGAAGATGGCTTTGGAGACTTCTGGGTTAGCAAAGCATATTTAGCAAAGCATGTAGAGGGGGCATCCACATGTCCTGCTCACTAAAGGACATACACATTAAAGCAAATATGTCTCTAAATAAGTTCAAGACTTTCTGAATGTCTGTCTGGTGCAAGTGCCATGGGTAAGATTGAACGCCACTCTGACAGGAAACTGCACTCTTGCCCATACAAAGGGACCTAGGGACAGCTGGCTGCTAGCCAACAAAGTAGTTAGCAAGAATGGGCAGTTGGTGTTAGAACACATCTGAGAAGCACTGTAATTTATTATTATTGTTTCTACTAGTACTTTGATATTTTGGCTTCCCCAGAGTATAATCCCCTTAAGTTGAAAGAAACAAAACTGACCAGAAGTCAACTGGTGGGAAAAATTAATCCCTGTCGCTGTCTTCAAAGGGACCAGTGTGCCTGAAGAGGACTCTCGGACCCACCTGGAGCCCTCTGCAGGGTGTCCTTCCTGCCTCCAAGTCCACCTAACCCCTCTGTCACCTCTGCACCATGGGCCAGGGTCATCACTGAGGGCAGTCCTCGCCATTCCTTGGTGGATCCTGAGGGAAGGTTATTCTGTAGCCTGGATTCTGAAAAGGCTCTGGCTGAAGCTTAATAGTGATATTTACATCTTGAGAAAGTTTTGCAATCTTTCTGAGAGTAGAAAAAAAAATTCCTTCCCTCTGGCATTCTGTCTTCCTCTGAGGTGGGGTCACTAGATGCACAATTTTGATTTTCAGATTAAAAGGTCCTGATGCTTTTGTGGCTGGCTGAGTAATCCTCAGTCACACAGACCTATTGTCCCACTTGAACTCACTATAAATGGAGAATAAGCTCCTTCCATGAGCTCCTTAATTTCCACAGAGGCTGAAACAACTCCCTGGCAACTGTGGTCCAGCTTTGCATCCGTGCAGGGGAATTTGCAAGGCCGGTCCCCACCCCCACCCCAGGCACACAAAAAAGCTTCTATTTTTTTTTTTTCAGAGATTACATGGCGAGCAGAGAAAGAGCAGCTGAAACACGTGATGGGTGACACGGTGTGAATAGCTGCGCTGCGCCGGCACTGTGAGTCTGTGGCTAATTTACCGCAGGGGTTTCCTTCACTGAGGCTCTGAAGGCAGGAGCTGCCATCCACTGTGGTAATAAGGACACATGTCCTGGAAATGCTCTGCCTACCTTTTGAAAACTGGAGGATCTCAAGAGCCCTTTGGCTTATCTGAAGTAAAGTAAATGAAGGGAATACCTAGAGAGATCCTTATTGCCTAAAACCCATAGCCTCCCATGAAAGTTTCTAATAAGGCTTTTAAGAATATTATCTTATTCTAATGTTCAGAGCAGCTTTCATGCTGAGGCTCCGAACTCACCAGCCCCAGGGCCAGTCTGGCACACTGGGAACAGAAGTGGAGCATGTGTCCCTGCAGGGACAGGGAGGCCCCTGCCCGCATCTTTCTCCCACCAGCTTGGTGCCTATGAGCCCACCATTCTCTCTCCATGCCATTGTGCTGAGCACAGGAGTCCTAAGCGGATCACAAGCCCAGCCTGCTCTTCCTGCCAAATGGTTCAATCGGAGCCAATTCCTTCCTCTATTCTCAGAGATTCAGGGCAACCCAAGAGAATGGGACCCTAAGAGGATTAAACAGTCAGGGCGGAGAGATGCTGATGCCGAAAGCAAGGGGAAGCAGAGGAGAGGGAAATCGTTCAGGGGATTCACCTATTGTGAAGGCTGCAGGCTTTTGTTACTTTATCTCACCTCCAACTCTAGTGGCAAACTGGGAAAACTGAAGGTGCCGAGTTGTAGCTTTAGTTGTTAAATTGTACACGGTTCCCGGGGTCTCCTAACTTCTGTTGCTCACAAATGTGGTACCTAGAAAAAACAGTTCAAAAACTTGTCATCCTTCAAAAGTATCTTAAAATAGATTTATATTTGTAGGTATGATCAATTTTCAAATGGCCCTTTTTAAGCCTGGAAAGGAAGTTAAACTCCACAATAATGCAAAATTAGAAGCAGTGGAACTAAAACTTCATAGATGGGATGTGCAGTCTTTCTACATCTCTGGTTCAGAAATAAATTTGGAATTCAAGACAAGTTATCATCTCTCAAGGAAAAATGAATTGGGAAACTAAAACCGACTGAATTTGTATTGTGATATTAACCCAGTCTTGCGGGTGTCGTCCCTGCGTTATTTCACTGTGGTCTTCACATCTGCAAGCACTCACTCTCATCTGTCAGTTCTGCAACTGCAATTTTGATCAAAACGAAACACTGGCACTGAGATAGAAACCGGGCATGGTATTCCTTTTTGGACTAGGAGATTTGAATAAAACGTGATAACACTGTGGCTGAACCCTGCAAACACTCCTGATCATTCACTCAGTCTCGGCTTCACTCCGTAGTTTGGATGTGGATTCTGGAAATCAGAGCCTGGACCCGAAGCACCTGTAGCAGGAGCAGCAGGGTTTCCAGACCCAGCCTCTCCTTTCCCTTCGCTCTCTTGACAGCCACCTGCATCTGGAAAACATTAAATAACCTCATCCTTTATGTTGATTCATTATGCTCTTCAAATTCATTATCAGTTACCAACTGACTGTGAAGAATGTTTGAAATCGAAATGAAGAGGAAGGAATTGATGATGAAGAGCAGGAGCGGGGTCTAGAAGGAAAGGTGAGCCCTCCTCGGGGTAGGACACGAAGCTGAATGCTGCATCCACTGTATGTTTCCTTAAATTTAATGGCATTTGCAATACTTTTTAAATCAGTGGAAGATAAGAAATTTGGCTCCATTGAACGTAAGAAGTAAGGCCAAGTCAGTTGCATATCTTCAATGGCACTGGAAAGTTTACGAGGAAAAGCCAGACTTGGAGTATTGTTATCTGTAAAGGGACAATGTAAACAACCAGAACAACCTATCTGAGAATGGAACCCCCAACGCAGCATGGCTTAGATCAAATGATTTCCACAGGAGAGGGGGTTCCATCATTCAGGGGACTCCCTCCCCACTTATAAATCATTTGATCTAAGGGCTGAGACCCCACTGTGGACAGAAAAGGCCTGCTCTCAAATCTACTACCAACTGGGGACGGGTAGCAACCTTTGACAAGGTAGTTATTCTCTTTGTGAATCCAAAATGGTTTTTGGAAACCTGAGCCTCCGAAATTGGCACTTAAAATCTGTAGTCCTACTTTGGGTAATGAGACTATTTATGTGCTGGGAGGACAGCCTCCCTTCCCATATCACCCCTTTACCTGCCCCCATCACATCAGCTGGGCAGGAGGGCGAGGCCAAAGGGCTTCCATCCTTCACTATGAGGAATGCAAGTTCCCTATGTGAGAGGGAGAGAGAGCTCATCATCAAGAGGTCTTTCCTCCCCAGCCAGTTTCAGAGAACCATCTGTTGACGTGGCCAGGAAATGCTGACTGAGACCTCAACAGAGGAGCTGAGAAGTCCTGGCCAATGTCTGGCACCTGTGTAAATGTCTGTCGCAGCAAGAGTGACCCCCATAATTACCTCGACCTTATTCAAGCGAGAAGTGCCCTCCGCCTCAGCCCAGTTTGCAAGGCATGCTTGCTGCTTCCTCCCTCTCCCCGGGAGCAGCTCAGCGCAGCCCAAAGTCCCATCATCAGAATTTCACCTCCTCCAGCAGCAGGAAATCTCCTCCAAGCTTGGGGGAGGTGCCCCACACGGTCCTGACATCAAGGGCTTTCCTTGGAAACACCCCAGCTGGGGGCTTTCTTTTGACTCACAGCACTTTCAGTCAGGATGTTCGTGAGCCTGGGGTCCATTGTTTGTGAAGTCAACTGGAATCCAAGTTTAAACACGCAGAGGAAACGAGGAGATCCCAAGCACTTCTGGACTCCAGGAGCTCTGCAATATTCCCCTTTCAACATCCCCACCTACGCTCTGTCCCCCCTCCTGCCTCCTCCATCGTAGGGGATGAGATGTGTCCTTTTCAACGTGTGTGAGGAACAATTATTATGCACAGAACTAAGATTAGAAAAGACTTTGTAAGTCAATTGATTATCAAGCACATATTGAGTGCTCAGAAAATACACATAAAACCAATATTATTTCTCATATTTCAGCTTTCTTGTAGCCTAAAGTCCAAAGCTCTGTTTTGTGAAACAGAATTGCGTGACCTATTTAAAGATAAAGTGCATTGTGCCCTTCAGATTAATATGTATATTTAAAAGTTCTGTCATACTATTTAAATATGCATGGAAAGACATGAATTCAAATAGTAAATTTGTCACCTAGAAGTGCATACTAATAATTGTTCTGACAGTAAAGGAAATGTGAATTAAGCATCTCTAAGATATCATTCCAAACCTAATTAAAAATATGTAGACATTATAAGAGCCAGTTTCACTGGGATTATGAGTAAGCCATTTAATATCATGTGGCAATATGAATTGATTCAATATTTCTGGTGCCATCAGCTCACTGTTCAGACTTAGAGCTCATCATTTTAAATATCTCCCACAAAAAGCTAACCTACGAAAAAAGTAAATGCCTTGTGCAAAGATAGAGGAAAACTGAAGTCAATTTCAATTCCCCCAAATGATTTGCCTGAAGGTAATGTTTTCGAGTAAGTGAGAGGGCGAAAGTTTAAGCAGCAGGACATGGTTAGATGACGGCGTGTGTGAATGAAATAATGAACTGAATCGGGGGGTGCCTATTTGTGGAGGAAGCTGTGCCTACCCGCACCAGACTCCTCGGATAATGTCTAAGTCTCCAATGCCCACAGTAGGAAGGACTCACCCACCCAGAAGGAGAATCCGGGCAGTGCCAGGCAGCGTGGTGTGGCGGTTAAGGGCATGGACGTGGGAGCCAGGATCCCTACCTTCGAATGTGGCCTTCAATTCTTTGCTGTGTGACCTGGGAAGGGACTCAACTTTTTTGTGCCTAGGTTTTTCTCATCTGAGAAAGAGGAATAATAATAGTCCCTATCTTCCAATGTCTTGTGAGGATTAAATGAGTTAACCTTGGTGAAGCTCCTAAAAACTCTCCAAGCTTATACAATGTGTTGGTTAGAAATGTTTATTTAATAAATTAGCAATATTAAGATGCACAAACTGTACCTTTTCTAATTCTCCCCTGGCTGGAGTGGGAGGAGAAAGGTATACCTTAAGAGTCAGCGGTAGAAGAGAAAGCTTACTGGCTCAGACTGAGGAAGACATCTAAGCCAATGGAGAAAACACCGCTAACAGCTGAGGCGATGGCTGATGAGCGGATGGATTTTAAGTGGAGGGAAGGAGTGTGGAATGTCAGGGTCAGGAGCAGTGGAGGATCATCAGGGCAGTGCTGCCTCAGATTCTGGGGTCTGTTCATTGTTTTATGTCAGCTCCTTGGGATGAGTGGCTGAGCTGTGCCCAAGGCTGGGCGGACAGGTCCAGGGATAAAGAAGGGTTCAAATCTGATGAAGATAGGCAGTGGTGAGTGCCAGGCCATAAAGAGACTTGTCATCTCAGCCACCTCCCCGGAGGGCATGCACCCCTGTTTGAGGACCTGGAGAGGCTGGCTGAATTTATCCAATATGCTGGATGCAAGAGGCTGTTCACCAGTGAGCAGGAGGCTAAGACTGTCCCTGAATGGAAGAGCGCATGCTCCTGCCCTGCAAGAGGACTCTCCGAAGGGCCAGGAGCATCTTCGTTCTAAGGCGAGGCCCAGAAGGTCTCGGCAGTAGTGGTAGCTATGGGAAACACGTGCAACGCTGCCCTGGTGCAGTTGTTGGGCTAAAATTATTCTGGGCCTATTTTATGTATTTGCAAGTTTCTGAGAGAAAAGAGAGTTCACAGACCTCTGACCACTTCACAAGGCTTGAGACACATTACATCCACATTGGATTTGACATTCACAACTCTAAATTGGGTATTTACCGCTCAGGAAAAGGGAGCTCAGCGCTGTTAAGCTACCAGCTTGAAAAGATCTCAAGTGTTAAGAAGCAGATCCTATACTTGACTCCAAGTTTTATGATGCGGACTCTGTGTTTTTTAGTCACACCTCAGCGGATTGCAATGAGATATGCAACGGCTTATGAACGTGAAATAGCATTAATTAAAGAAGCACAATTAAAATATAAGATGTAGCATGGAAAAACACATGGCTGGGCACTGACAAAAGTAAGAAGTAAAATGGAACTGAGGAAAACATAGTTCAATGATTATTTGCCCTTAGTTCCTATTAAAATGTATATACGTTCGTCTTAAATAAACATTTGCATGGAAGCTTTGACCTTAAGGACATGAGTTTAAAAATGGTTCTGCTATTACTGATTAGTTTTACTGGTTTTTCTTGGTTTTCTATTTTTCATTTTTCATATTCCATGGGGATATTAATTTGGAATTGATGTGTCATTTGCAAAATTTCTTCTCTATTGTTGGAGAACTCAAATCATCCAAGGTATACCTTTATGTAGTTACATTTTTTTCCAAGCAAGAAAGTAATTAAATTGCCGAGCCTGTTGTTGACTCTTGCAAATATTCCCAATGCTTTGGAGGGCTGAGGCAAGAAGATCACTTGAGGTCAGGAGTTTGAGACCAGCCTGGGACACAAAGTGAGAGCCCTCATCTCTGCAAAAGAATTTAAAAAGAAAAAAAAGCAACAGTTAAATGTGCATCTTGTGAAGGAGCATCTTTACTCACTGGAACTGTCTACTTTCACCCAAAAAAATAATACCCCTTTAGGGAACTCAATGTAGCTATCTGTTTATGAGGCTGAGATTTTTTTCCCCTTATACAGTTACTTATCACTGAGTATCACAGGTCCATGAAGTTAGTGGCATAAAACAAAACCCATGTATGAGCTCACATTTCTGCCAACCAGCAGTCTGGATGGCTTAGCTGGATCTTCTGCTCAGGGTCTCCCAAAGGTGCAGTCAGCCATTGGTCACACCATGGTTCTCATTTGTGGCTCATGGTAGTCTCCCAAGCTCAATAAGTTGATGGCAGAATTCAGCTCTTTGTGGTTATAAAGGGAACGGGGTCTCTGCTTTGTTGCTAACTGTCGACCAGACACCATTGACAGCTCATACATGGCCTATAAGTCGTCTCAATGAAAGAGGCACCATTTTTTTTTCTCCAGAAGTAGTTCTCCCAGGGAATGAAGAGTATGTGGGGAGGACTTGCGTATCACATGACCTCACACTTCTGCTTGCTCTCCACTGAAGTCACAGGTGCACAGTGGTGCTAAGGCAGAAAGCAAGACATCTGTTACACCCCTCTGACCTCCTGGGGGCTGAGAGGGGTTTCAGAAGAGCTGAAGGAATTCAACTGTGGGTAGGAAGTTGCCTTTATGGGAGGACAGCAGAAGAAATAGATAAATGTGTTTTCCAGAAACTCATACTGATACGATATTCTCAAATGTTGAGGAGAATCCCTGGCCAGCCTCTCTAAGAGCTGTGCTGTATAGTTCCTGGGCTGGCATCAAGGGTTGCAGAAGACATCCCAGCGGTGAAAGCCAACGAGTCCAGCTGGTCTGATGTCCCTGGAAACATGTGGGGAGGCCATGCTCCTCAGCCATATAGGAATTGCCTTTTGTTTGGAGGGCCAACTCCACTCTACTATCCTGGCCCACATAAAATTTCCCAGCCTTTGAGGAATTCTCCCTCCTATCTCTATAGGATCTATAAGGTGAACAGAACAATGCTTATGATTCTGGGTAATGAAAACAGCCAGGGCTGTAAGTCCCAATCTTTTCCCCTCCATGACCATGCCCTGCCCTGGTCCGTGAGACCCACAATGACTTTCATGTATGCAACACACTCATCATGAGCAGGAGTATGCAGAATCCCAGCCTAACTATGCCAACGCCTGCCTTTTCCCTCTCTCCCAACCATGTGAGTGAGAACGCAGCACCCACAGGATAGCCATTACACCACTTGACACTTGAACTTATTTTTTTTCATGCAAACAATACTTTTTTGATGATTACACTCTAAGTTCTGGGGTACGTGTGCAGAATGTGCAGGTTTGTTACATAGGTATACATGTGCCATGGTGGTTTGCTACACCCATCAACCTGTCATCTACATTAGGTATTTCTCCTAATGTTATCCCTCCCCTAGCCCCCAACACCCTGACAGGCCTCGGTGTGTGATGTTCCTCTCCCTGTGTCCATGTGTTCTCATTGTTCAACTCTCATTTATGAGTGAGAACATGCATATACCACCTGAACTTATTTAAAAACACAAATGACTTGCAAAGGTTGATGAAATCAAGCTTTGGAATGAGATAGATCTAGGTTTAAGTCCCAGGTTACCATTTTCTAGCTACCTGCATTGGGCAAATGTTTATCCTCTTCCCATCTCAATTTTCTCCATAGTAAATGGGGAAATTCCTGTACTGACCCTATAGGATCATTGTGAATGTTAAAAAAGTTATGTGATCGTTAATTTCATGTGTCAACTGGACAGAGTTAACCGATGCCCAGGTAGCTGGTGAAACATTTCTGGATGTGTCTCTATGAAGGCATGTCTGGAAGAGGGTAGCACTTGAATCAGTGGACTCCGTAAAGCAAATGGCCCTCTCGAGTGTGGATGGGCATCATCTAATGCATTGAGGTTCTAAATAGAACAAAACAACAAATGAAGATGAAATTTGCTCTCTGCCTAACTACTTGTGCTGAGACATTGATCTTCTCCTGACTCTACTTCTGGTTCTCAGGCCTTTATCCTTGGACTAGAAGCTACATTATCTCCAGCTTTCAGGCCTTTGAGCTATATCACCAGCTTTCCTCAATTCTACAGAGGGCAGATCATGGGACTTCTCAGCCTCCAAATTCATGTAAGCCAATAGCTTACAATAGATCTCTTTCAATGTGTATACTATTGCTTCCGTTTCTCTGGGGAACTCTGGTTAACATAAGAACATAAATGAACAGTGCTTGCAGGGCCTGGAGCACAGTGAGTGCTTAATAAATATGACCAAGCAGTAGCAGCAGGAGCCGTGGCCGAGCATGGCAGTTTTGACCCACCAGCCCGGTGATGTGTCCCTGTGCTGATGTTGAGACTGCTGCTCTTAGGAGCATCTGCAGAGTGGAAGGCGCCTCTCCCCTCATGGATCATTTCAGTCTACTCTCATCCTAGAGCCACTCACCTTGCTCAGATCCCATGTATGTCCAAGAACTGTACAGTGTGTGAGCTGAGAGACAGCTTGAAGGTCACATGCAGTCCTCAGGCCTCCAGTGCAGATAGTGAAGCCAACAGCAGAGAACAGGAGTGCCTGCCCTGGTCAGTTTGTCTCAGTTCTCAGCTGAAACTTACGTTAAACAAAACAAGTAACTGATAGAGAGCAAGAACGATCCAGGTGACTGTTTTAACCCATGCAAAAGAGAAACCAACATTGGTAGTCAGTGAACTCTGCCAGCACAAGGAAACCTTCTCCCACTTGTTCACACCCTAGTAGTCGTCTCCCATCTGAGCAATAAATCCCCTGCCTGTGATGTGTTTAATGGGATTGTCCTTAGAGCATTCCCAGCAAGACCACACCTCTGTTGCTGTCTGCTTTCAGATGGCCTGAAACACTCACTGTCATATGGTCAACAAATCTAGCTCTCTGCCAGGTAGAGGTCCCTCCTACTGCCCAGGAGGTCTTCGGGGCGTGAGAATAATGCACTGGAGAGCACCTCCTTTTGTCTGGTTCTGCATTCTCACACTGCCTGGAATGGGATCATTTTGGTGCTCCACAATGGAGGTTGCTTGTGGGAGCCCTGCTGATCAGAGGGAAAGCAGTCACAGGAAGAGCTGTCACTCACACAGCACCTGCTACGTGCAGTGTGCTGCTCTTAGCACACTGCATACATTGGCTTATTACTTCTCAAGATAATACTACAGTTGAGAGGCATAACCTGTCTATCCATCCATTGCAGAGCCACGGGACACCAAAGAGCCAGGGGATCCGTGCCTCTCTCTACAGCTTTTCCATTGCTAAAATGGGCAGGGAAAGGAGCTATTGTTTGTTGTTTACTATATGTGGATGGTGTTAGATGCATGATTTTCACTCAATCTTGATGGCTTAGGAGGGAGAGAGTTTTTGTACCAGCTCACACACAGCCATACCTTACCTACAGCTATGTCTGTCCCTGCTGTGCTGTTCCCATCATGCTGATCACTGTGCAGTGGGTATTTCCCTTCGTTCTTTATTCTTTCTTTCCCACTAGAATGCAAACTGCAGCACTTATTTCCCCCCTTTCTTTACACTCTTGGGTGGAACGTGGTCTCTAGAACATGGCATGTAGTTGGTAACCAACAAGAGATCGTCAAAAGCATACAAGTTTTACCGGCGAGAAAACACGCTCAGAGTCACTGTCTAACGTGCCTGTTGTCACAGAGGTGGTTAGTCACAGACCTGAAATTTGAACTCTGGGTGTTCTCACCTGGAACCCCTCTTTTTTTTTTTCACTGTTCTACTTATCAGAAAACACTCCATTTCTGTTGAGTGGGATCTTCCCTTTGATATTTCCATTTGTCATCCTAGTTACTCTTGAGAGTGATGCAAAATGAGTTTCATCCTTTTCCTCTCTATCAGTTTTCCACATTTGCAGTTATTGTTCCCTCTCATACAAGCCAGGACCTAACATAAAGCAGATTTTCTGTGTCTCCCCTGGACCTATTTCAATTTGTCCTTCTTAATTAAAAAAAATTTTTTTTTTTTTTTTAGACAGAGTCTCGCTGTGTCACCGAGTTTGGAGTGCAGTGGCACGACCTCAGCTCACTGCAACCTCCACCTTCTGGGTTCAAGTGATTCTCCTGCTCAGCCTCCCAAGTAGCTGGGATTACCATGCCTGGCTAATTTTTGTATTTTAGTAGAGATGGGGTTTCACCATGTTGGCCAGGCTGGTCTCAAACTCCTGACCTCAGGTGATCCACCCACCGCGGCCTCCCAAAGTGTTGGGATTACAGGTGTGAGTCACTGTGCCTGGCCTGAACGTGTCTTTCTAAAAGGATGATGTGGCCGGGCGTGCTGCCTCATGACTGTAATCCTAGCACTTTGGGAAGCCGAGGCAAGAGGATCACTGGAGTCCAGGAGTTTGAGGCCAACCTCAGCAATACAGTGAGACCCCAACTCTACAAAAATTTAAAAATTAGCTCACATGGTGGTGCGTGCCTGTAGTCCCAGCTACTCAAGCACTGAGGTAGGAGGATTGCTTGGGCTGGGGAAGTCAGTGCTGCGATGAGCCATGGTTATGCCACTACACTCAAGCTTGAGTGACAGAGAAAGACACTATCTCAAAATAATAATAATAATAAAATATATAAATAAAAGCATAGTGTGAATCTCATCTTACAGGAGCATGAATGTTGAAGAAGAGAAAGCCGAATGGAAGCTCCCGGCACTCGCAATCCCTCCCAATATAATTCCAACAGTGCCCATCTATGGGCTCCAACGATGCCCCGTCTATGTGCAATAGTGCCCCAATAACCATCAGCCCATCTCTTCTCTATCTCACCAACTGACAGAGTGGATACAAAACCTCAAGCTGTGTCTACACACCCCCACAGAAACAGTGTTGCAGTGGCAGAGAAGAAAAGCCACTGGCAGCCAGGCCTTTCCGTTTGTGGGCAGGGTCTGCCAGCCTCCTCCAGCTCCCCTGCAGGCTGAAGTCAAGACCCAGCAGGCCTGTCGTGTCCTCTCTGTGTTCAGACTTGGCGGTATCGCATTCCTGGGACAATTTTCCATCCTTGTGCCTGCAAGGCATCACTGTGTGGGAACGGCACCCTCGCCTAATGATCTTGGCCAAATCCAGTATCTCTCATTCACATGGGTTCCCCCTTTCCCCCAGGATAGTATAAAAGATGGCAGTTGAAGCTGAGTAAACAAAAACAGAATATGGAAAATGTGTCAATCCAGTCCCAACCTCAGGAAATCCTGTATCACGTTACCTGTTCTGATCTAGAAGAAAGGTTAACAAATCTTTCCTTGGCTTTTATCTCAGGATGGTGGTGGTAGGTTTTGCTGATGACGGGATCCCCACTTAAATCTTCTACAAATTTTAAGGCAAAGTGAAAGTGAAAACGCTTGTGAAGACTGATGATATTCCTGAGTTCAGAACTTCCTATCCATCCTTGAATCACCAGCATTCTGCAGAGAATCACACCCACCCCGTCACCAGTCAGCTGCCACCAATGATGACTGTGGCCACAAAAAAGCTGAATGACATGGGGCATATCACACCAAAGGACTCCTCTCTCGATGCTAGTATGTATCTAGCATGACTTTAGTCAGTTCTGGCCCTTAGAGATCTTTCATCTGGAAACCTCCAGAACATTCTGCACACTAAAATGGCTCATGGAACTTTGCCCCGGCAGATGTTAAAATACCCATTTTTCAAACAGAGGAAGTGGGTTCTTTGAAATTAACAGAATTCAGAAACATTCAGAAGCATCTTGGAAATAATGGTGAAGCAATTATTTTAAGTACAAATGGCCGTTTTGATTCTTGGGAATTACCTGTGAAGGCCCGGTAAACAGCTCTGCTGGCCAGTGGCAGCTGTGCATGGATGAATAACTGCTGCAGGCCTGTGTGAGCTTCTGCACAGCTGGAGCAGCACTGTGCCCCTCAGCAGGCATCTCCTGGTGGTAGAAGTGGTGCCTTTCCCTTGGTTAAGCAGCGGGCGGACTGGCCAGTCTCAAGCTTTCCTCAAAGGTGTTGTTCTTCCATGACTAGATACTTGGGATTTTCCTAAGGCAAGGGATGCTGACTTTCCCTTCTGGAACAGAGCACTGCAGAAACTGGGAAGCAGAGTCCCAATGACGCCCACAGGGGACAGGCAGAATGCCACCACTTGTCCAAGAAGGAGTGTTAGGCTCCGACAGCCGAGAGTCCAGAGCCACCACACTTCCGTTGCTGCACATGCTGCTCCTGCTGGTACCCACCCACCACATGGAGTCTAGCAGGTCTCCCTGCTTTGATTCAGCTTCTCTGTAATCCTTTCTCCACGTGGCAGCCAGAGGCATTCACTTAACATTTAGTGTCTCATGGCCTTCCCTTGCTTGCTCTGTAAAGGCTTCTTGTATGCTTTGTAGAATTCAAACTCCTAACCCTGAGGCTCAGTCCTCCACCTGTGGCCCTGCCTGGTCTCCATGCCACTCTGGAGCTCACAGGTAACTGCTTTTCCTTCAAGTTGCCCAGCATTCCCTCATCATAGAGCCTTAACTTGCTACTCCCTTGGCCTACAAGGCCCTTCCCCTAATTTAACCAACACTAATAGAGTAAGGGCTTTGTGGCATCCAACTCATCTTCCCTGACCATCATGTAGCTGCTCTCCTAGCTTTTCAAATCTCAGGACTGGGTGAGGTGGCTCACGCCTGTAATCCCAGCACTTTGGGAGGCCGAGGCGGGTAGATCACTTAAGGCCAGGAGTTTGAGACCAGCCTGGCTCACATAGTGAAACCTTGTCTCTGCTAAAAATACAAAAATTAGCTGGGCGTGGTGGTGGGCATCTGTAATCCCAGTTACTTGGGAGGCAGAAGCAGGAGAATCACTTGAACCTGGGAGGTGGAGGTTGCAGTAATCCAAGATCATGCCACTGCACTCCAGCCTGGGTGACAAAGCAAGACTCCATCTCAAAAGAAAAGAAAAGAAAAATCTCAGCAGAGGAGCCAGCCCATCAGAGAGCCTCTTCCTGATCATCCGCGCTGACCCAGCTGCACAGCCATACCGCCCAGTCCTCCTCATTCCTCGCCTTGCACTGACACGGCGCTCTCTTTTCTGTATTCATCTGCTCTTGTCTCTCCCAGGAAAGCAGGGTCCTGTTGTATCCTTTGTGTATAGTACTGTACTGGGGGCATGAACACAATCACTCTTTTTTGAAGAATGAATGAATATATAGACCATTATGATCCCTTTTCTCCAGACTTGCCTGCGCTTGACACTCGCAACACAGGCACAATTATTTATTTGCAAACTTGTAAGAGTGTGAAATCTGCATGTTGGTGCTCTCCTGGCCACACACAGGAACTTAGCTTTCAAATGCAGGTGCATAACATAAATGATCACCTAACCCAGAAGTGGAAAATACGTTCTGAAGGCACAATCATAAGGACAGTGTTTTTGCCTTCAGATCTTAACACCTACCATTCTATTCCTTAGGGTAGATACTCAATTTCTTTGATATTTAAAAATGTAGCACACTTCCCCAACAGAAATATATCCCATTCCCTATGTTACTGTGCAGATTTTGGACCCAAAAGTTACTTTGGTTCTGTATATTGCTAATTAAGGAAAAAACAGGTTTCAGACCTTAAACTATCATTAGACATATCATCAGAATCGGGACAGAGCCTGGCTGTGATTTGCAGTTCTTGTCGGAACAATCGCTTCAACTGCCTAGCTTGACACTGAATTTCTGATTACCTTGGTGGAGGTGGGGGAGATGGGAAGGGGGTATTTAATGAACTCAAGCGTCCTCTTTGCAGCCTTTGAAATTCAAATCATGTTCAGCAATGAGCAATTCATAGACAGGGTGTAATTGCCGATACAGCATGTAAGATGTCCTTTCCTCAGTAAAACACAATCAGTCTACACGCTGACCTGAAGGCCACGCAGAGGGGTGACACTCCTGACGGGCAGGCAGTGTGTTATATCTGTACAGAACATCATGCCCCAAGGGCCTAATTACTTGGCAAAATGCTGTGTTTTCTCACATAATTCTCAAAGACAGTCACCTGCTCATTGCAGGGAGATTTAAGGTCTTATACACAGAGAAAAGGCATTTCATGAAAAGGTTACCTCCAAAGAGATATCCAAGGTCAAAATTAGTTGGCTAGATACACATTGGAATTTACATACTCATTAGTTCTTAATACGAGGGAGGCTTAGAACTCAAAGGGGGATGTTTTACACGAGGGGCGTCCAAACTTTTGGCTTCTCTGGGCCACGCTGGAGAAAGAATTGTCCTGGGCCACACATAAAATACACTAACTCCAATGTTAGCTAATGAGCTAAAAAAAGATTCCCAAAACCTCGTGTTTTAATGTTTTAAGAAAGTTTATGAATTTGTGTTGGGCTAAATTCAAAGCCCTCCTAGGTCGCATGAAGCCCGTAGGCTGCGGGTTGGTCAAGCTTCTTTTACACATTCAGAGAAGGAATTTGGACGAATATGTATGATATTTTTTCCTTTTAAGAACATCCATTGAAGGGAAGAAAGAAGAAATCCCAAGCTGCACATTTATCCTCATGGTGGGTGGGATAAGAAGGAGCACCCAGGCCCCCAGGGGGGCAGATGTTGCCTCTGATTTATTCAGTGTGTTCTGAGCTATATAAGAAGCTACATTTATTCAGTGTGTTCTGAGCTACATCTACATCTGTGTCAACTTTGCACACAAGTGTATGAACAGTAAATAAAAAATTACAAGCAGCTTGGAATTGAAACACTCTCAGAGGTAAAGTGAACCACGACAGACAGGCATCATGAAAATCCCAAACTGACAAGTGGAATGAGTTTGGTTCAGGTAATGAAGGTGGTCAGTTTCCCTAGTCATTCCAAGGTGCCTTTACACCTTTATCCTTGGCTACTGTGCCTTCCATCCCAAAGGCCTCAGAAAATGAGCCATCATGCTTTGGGTTGTAAAGCCTGCTTGCTGCCTCGCTGCTGACTCAGACCATGGATTGGATTCCCAGATCTTCAGCCATGAGCCATGTCACTCCCTGTCTGATTCTTCCTCCCACACGGCAAGGACCTGGGGCGCTGCACCTGAGCTGGGGTGGGTGGAGTCTGCATGCCAAGACTGGGTGTAGTAGTTGGTTAAGGACTCGCCCCTGGGCTATGATGCTTGGAGACAAGGGAACTCAGTGAGAGAAAACATCTTATGTAGAAACCGAAGTCAAAAACTAGGCAGTCTACCCAAAGAAGAGGTGGGACTAAAAAGACTAAAGAAGGCTAAAGAAGGCAGGCACAAGGGGCAAATTCAGATTTGAGGCAACTGGACAGAAGAATGGCAAGAAGAACCTGGAGAAAATCCTTGAGCCATGAGAATACAGCCAAGGCCAGCCTTCTGAGTACTGAGTTATGATATAAATTGCAATTTCTACTGTGAGTCTTGGTTGAGAACACAGGGCTCTGGTTATATGCAGCTGTGTGCAGGAACATTTCTGTGTAAGCAGCTTCACTGAATAGGTTCCATCTAAAAGTGTGTCCCCAAGAAGTAACCCAAGTCCCTCCCGACGCAGTACGCCACACAGACCCAGAGGTCAGGGGCTATTTCTTGGTTGTTGACTGTGCTACCTCTCGCATCTCAAAGAGCACTGTTCTAGGTTAGGACTGGCCTGAAGAAAATGTGCTTAGCCCCCAGACCAGCCATGCCCCGCATCCTGTTGTTATTTTTCCTCTATGCTACTTGACAAAAGTTGCCCCTGTGCTGGCAATGAACACATGCCACTGGAAGATTACTGTTTTTTACACAGTCACAGGGAAAACAGCGTTTATTGAAAAACTGCAATTCTATTATCCCTGGCAAATTGACACTAACTTATTCTTTCAAACTCTCTTTCCACAGGTTTTAAAATTTGCAGAATCTTAGGATGGAAGAAATCCTAACAGTGTTCTGTATCGTATCCATGTATTGTAACTCCCAGCCCAGTGCTCTTTTGTAATGTGCAGTGAAAGCCCTAAATGCTTTTAATGAGTGAAGAGCTTTTCATTCCAGAAGTGCACATAAAGTCTGAAATGTAAACACAATGAAAGAGGTAACGTATGATTTAATTTCGCTCTAAGATAGTAACAATGGCCATGAACAATATATTCGGGAAAAAAATGATAGTGAGGGAGCAGTCAGGGAGGTTGGGAAGAGAAGGCTGCAAGACAGTAAACGGTGTGGCAAAAAGGGACCTGGCTGCCCCAGAAATGTCCCTGATGGCAAAAAAGGCAAGAGCAGGACAGGAGAAGAGAAGCCACCTAACCTCCTCCTGGGTCACAAGCCTGTCTGC